TGCACTTTCATGAACGATGATAATTCACCTCTATTCACGCATCAACTTTGTATGTAAATTACTTGCGCAATTACTTAATTCCGCGTTTGTTGTTGAACCCAGCATAAGATTTGCTGCGAATCCTCACTCACAGCTTGAGGAATCACTTTCACGAAAGAGACAGCACAAAGCGCTAGCCCACGCTAAGCCGCGGCAGTGCTAAACATGGTTTAGATTCGCAGTATCATGAATACAGTGAATGCGATGTCTTATCTACAGTGTCACAGTGTTTTATGACAGGCCTCCCTCCAGATGACGGTACTTTGATTTATTTCGCTTCCGAACTCCGACAGCACGCACTTTCGCTAGCATACATACGTACAGCGCAGAAATACCATGTCAAGTTTTGCAGTCGCTGGCCTCAAAAGAGGAATCCCTGCGAGGTATTAGTATTTATCATTTCCCCATGTAGATCCGCTAGTATAATACATTGTTTAAAGCACCACACCATACTAGTTAAACATGATGGGTTTGGGAAACTGAATATAGCTAGCTAAATATAGACGTTTTTTTAAGCACGCCCTGCGTCAATTTCACAAAATCTATCATTAAAGTCCGTGTGATATCACAATTTACGTTTATTTTGCTGGCGCAGGTTTTGAATCAACCTGCAGTCTGTGTGGGACCTAACGCCCCAGTATAGTGAAGGGAAATCTATACAGCACGGTGAGCGCTGTTTTTCAGATGAGATGTTAAACCGTTTGCCGGTTTCAGCCACGATATTATTAACCACACCCCTTTTATGTTTAGTTTGCTACGAGAAAATGATATGCAAACAGAAAGCCCCGCCCCCTACTCAAAATTCCATTTCAGTTGGAAGTACATCAATATAAAAGTCACAGCAACTTCCGACTCACACGGACTTTAAAGACGGAAACTGATCCAATTGTTTGTGCATGATTTGGAATGTGTTGTAGTGTATGTGATGTGAATGCATTATTACTTCATCATGTGTGTGTTTGTGTGTGTTGTATCCAGTGGTATGGACTGCTTTGAATTCATTGGTTTGCATCTTGTTTTCCATTTAAAGAACTTGCCGTCTTTGTCATCCTACAGTAATTGTCCTATCCTTTTCTACACGGAGAACCCCAATATACTGATTCACAACGTTGTGCTTTCATGTTAAATCAAACGAACACACGAACAGACAAACAGATTAAATGATAAATCACAACAGCTAGGCCAAAGTATGTTCAATTCACATTTGGTGGTACATTCAAACTAATATTCACTCCCCTTTTTACGAACACTGCCCATCTTGTCCTAATAAAACACAAAAGATTCAAGCAGCTTTATCGCTGTTTCCAATGGAAGTCCAGAAAACGTGGTGATGGTAAATAATATTAATAAACAAATAAAAATCAGGGGTCCGTTCTTCGTACCTTGCTAAAACAATCTTAGATGATTTGTCAGATTCTGGAACATTTAATCCTGATAGCTGATCTCTGGCTAATTTGGAATCAGATTAAAATGTCTAGATGAACTGACATGATATCGCTGCATGTGTTTTGAGGGACAGATCTATATCGATCCTCGAAATTGTGATGAGCAATGCAACATGGCTGACGGCACAGCAGTGTTATGACATCATCTGATTAATATTCAATTATCCATGTGAGCAAAACAGTATAAAATTTGTAGTAAAAAGTTTGTTAAATATGATACGCAATACATTTTTACATCTGTTGTGGGTTGCAGGCTTTACACTTTCATGTGTTGAGAGTATTTAGCAATTTATTTAGTTTATTTAGTTTAGAATGAATTTTCTTTATTATATTAGCCCAGGCCTATTCAAGTTTCTTAATCGGTATATACAGGAATAACTGTATATTTAAATGAATTCTGCATCAAAAAAAAAAAGCGGTTTGATGTTGGTAAAGGCGTCTGCAACTTTTGCAAAACATCAAATCACTCTCATCTTAGTTGTCAAAACATGTGCATTGTATTTTAATTGTTAAAAAAAAAATCGAATATTGTGCATGTCTATTATCATACACGAACTGTACTAAAGCTGGTACCTTGGTGTGCATTTGTGTCTAAAAAATCCATAATAATAAACACTCTCTTTGAACCCTTTGGGGAGAACCACCCCGTGACTGTTTGTTCTGTTATTTTGGAGTGCAGATTGCATACTTTTTTCCCCCAAGTCTATATAAGTACTACTGTAATGCTGCGTTCACACTAGACACGGAAGAAGCACCAGGCACGAGTGATTTACGAGTGTTAAGTCAATGCAAAGATGCAAATAAACATCTTGCGGCGGGATACGTGCAAATGAGATGCACAAAAGACTGAATTTGCCCGAATGAAGCGGCGCGAGTTGAGTGTTTTGCATGATTGACATGAAAATCTGGAAAATCTGAACTTTAGCAGACATTCGCACCGCGTTAACCAATCAGGAGCTTGCTCTTGTAGGGAAGTGATTATGATGTAGTTCCTGTAGTTGGTGTCCCGAGGGGAAATCCTCCTGTCGAACCGAAATACAGTTGATCAAACTGGGCTCGGCTGGTGCCGGAAGTACTGCTGAAAGCTTCCCTCATCCAGGTATAGTTTCTGGAGGGGTTTATGAGCTCACAGAGCTAGGTGCACCTCTGAATGGATCTTGTGGACTAAGACATGGCTCCAAACGAATCTGCGCTGTTTTTCAGTCTTCCTAAAGCACATAAACACAGCTATTCTCACAATAAAATCCATGTTAGCCATTTAGCAACAAAACTAAAGTCACCGGGCAGACAGAAACCCTGCCCATGATGCAAATCCGCGTCTGTTGTGAAGTGAATTTGACGCATAAATGAAACGAATTTGACGCACAAATGAAGCGAGTAAATCTCAAAATGTTCATGCATCTTCTTACATGCGGATGTGCGATTTAAGTCTGGTGTGAACACAGCATAAGAAGATATCAGATTCCGTACTTTCAGTATTACCTTTGCTTGAAAAGACCCGATCTAATCCTGTTCATATGTTTGAGCTATGGATTGAAAAACAATCCTGGATCATGTCAAATGGTCAGTAACCAAATCCAGCTAATTGAGTAATCCATGTATGAAGAACGGACCCCAGGAAGGGAAAGTTATATTTATATCATCTTCAAACAAACTTCTGCACTGCTCCAAAATCTGTTGTGTTCTTGCAAACTTGCTTGCCAAATTTTAGATCTCTTGAGAAATGTTTTTCTCTCACAAAGCTTTTAATTTCCCTGAAAAACTTTTCATTAGCTAAACTTTTAAAAAGGAGATGATATGATTTATTTAAGCAGGAAAACAAACTATTTTAGTGCAACAACATTTCTTTGTTAGAAAACTCATTTTTGAAAGGAAACATGGCGCTTTGGGTTTTAGAAAAGCGCATTATAAACAAAATGTATTATTGTTAATATTATTAAGTTTCTGTTTGTGTCAAGCTATTTTGGGTAACTAAATTAACATTGCATTCCTCAAAGAAATATACCAATCATTTTGATTGTTTGTATGTCCTCTTAGAAAACTATTGCATCAATGGGGAGAGATTATAAGAGAACGCAACTGTTGTGCAATAGAATAATTCTAGAGGGAATGTAATACATTTGTTAGAAAATGGAATACATTTCTGAAAGAACTTTTCTAAAGGAATGCGAAGCTTCTCAAAAAATTAAATACTTTGCATTGCTTGCCATTCCCAGGAGAAAATATCCTCACAAATTACATAAAAGCCGTACTTTTAATAAGAGAATGCTCATTTTGGTGGGGAAGCACAACAGATTCACAAGCAGGTGCAAAGTTCATTCAGGGAACACAATGTTATTGCAAACAAACACTAAATCACCGAAATATAATTCCCCTCTATCATCTAATTTTTCCATCACCACATCCCATTAGAAGCTCTGTAGATTCCTGCCCTCCACACCTACAAAAATAAAGACCCCCTTCACCCTCTTGATTAATAAATTAACACAAAGTACTCTATTATACATGTCAAAGATAAAAAGTCTCGTCCTCCTTTGATTTAGTAAACAATTAAAACAGTTTTTACACATTCTATGCAACAAAAGTAAGCTCACGAATGAACGACTCTACACTACCTGACAAAAGTCTTGCCGTCGATCCCAGTTGTAAGAGCAACAAATAATAACTTGTTCTACTTCTAGTTGATCATTTGGAAAAGTGGCAGATTTTCCAGATAAATCATCTGTTGAATGCCTCCCAATCGTCCCAAATCCTGCAGAAGACCTATTAGAACCCGCATAGACCCAAGATTCTCACAGTTCAGTAAAGTTTGGTGAAGGAAAAATCATGGTTTGGGGTTACATTCAGTATGTGGGTGTGCGAGAGATCTGCAGAGTGGATGGCAACATCAACAGCCTGAGATATCAAGACATTTGTGCTGCCCATTACATTACAAACTACAAAAAACGGCGAATTCTTCAGCAGGATAGCGCTCCTTCACATACTTCAGCCTCCACATAAAAGTTCCTGAAAGCAAAGAAGGTCAAGGTGCTCCAGGAATGGCCAGCCCAGTCACCAGAAATTGACATTATTGAGTATGCCTTGAGTAAGATGGAGGAGGTATTGAAGTTGAATCCAAAGAATCTTGATGAACTCTGAGTCCTGATACCAAAAGATCAACTAGAAGTCAAGTTATTATTTGTTGTTCCTAAAACTTGGATAGGTGACAAGACTTTTGTCAGGTAGTGTATATCCATAATGAGGGTAGAACGACGCTTGCGGCGAAATTAAATGGAGCGTTGCTATTAAAAATGGACTACATTGATCAGTTAAGACTAAAAGGCACTAGTTGACTTGGTTTCACTACCTTGCTGTCGAATAAAGCCTCAAAATACTGAACCAAACCTCAACGCCGAAGAAAAAAAACAGACAGCAAGAGACGCCGGCGAAGTTTCAGTAGACAGATCTCACATCTTCGCTCATGTAAACACACATGATGCCAAAAAAAAAAAAAAAATACAAAAAGATGTGGACGTACTTTGAATCACCTATGGCTTTATAAAGTGTGTGAGAGGGCAAGTGTGATGGAAAACGGTCTGGTCTCCTCACAGAGGAAAAAAATGGTCCTTCTGGGTCTCCGAGGCTCAGAAACGTGTCCATAGTGTTAAGGACAGAAAAAAAAGAGAGCAGGAGGAGGGCAGGGGGCAGCATGCAGATTCCTGAAAAGAGACGGCAGAGGAAGGGGGAAAACACATAAAGCTCCAGCAGGAGTCCTGGAGGATAGAAACTCTCCAGCCGCAACGCTTTGACGTCCATTGCTCTTGTCCACTGCCGAAGGAAGTTGTGTTTCAGTGGCGTTTCTTGAGATGGAATGAAGTTTACTTGAGATGGTTTGGTAACTCTGGGCTCTCTTTCTTGATGACGGGTAAGGGATGAGCCTCTGTGTTGAACACCCAGTGGTCGAAGGGCAAGTGGTCGTCGTCTGAGAACAGCAGATAGAGATATCTGAAAAAAAAGAAGAAAAAGAAATTAAGACAATTCCCCAGGTGTGTTCATCTGTTACCTACAGGAGATAATCAAAGTGAAGAGACATTTCTGGTGTGAACCCATTTCATATTTCTGTGTTTCTCAGTAGTTGAAGTCCTCAAAGTTGGGTAAACCTACAACCTACAGCTCAGTAAATGGGTACAACAAATATGTATTGTACAATCCTATTTGCTGAAACAATAAAAGAAAAACTAAACGATGGTGTTATCAAGACTTTCAAAAAAAGGGCATATAAATGAGCATACTTAAAAAAAATCTAAATCAAAATATTAACAAACTTTCAAGGATTTCAGAGGCTGATGACTGTTAAACACATCATAATAATCTCATGAAAAGGGTCCATTTGGAAACATGTGCATATATGTCAATCAGAAGCAGTAAACATCAAGGTTATGAGAGGCAAATGATTAGTAAATTCATCTTTTTTTTTTAGGTTTTATAATAAAAACAATAAATTATATATATTTTTTAGTAAATATAGAAATACATTACTCTCTTAAGGCTAATTTATGCTTTTGCGTCAAGCACACACATATGCTCTCTTTAATAGCATTCGCCGCGAATAAACGACGTCACAACAATGCATAGCGCAAGCTCTGTGATAGCTTGTTAGCTGTGACCAGTGTGGGTGGTGCGGTAATCCGAGTGATTACAAGTGTCAAGTCCTGTGAAGTAGCTCTAGACGAAAACTGTTGTTCATTGTTTACGTTGTTGCACGTCTGGCACTTTCTGCCTCTGAATGAGCAAGTTTTAGCTACTTGTGCATTAAGGTAGTGTTAAAAAAAACTCCCATGAGGAAACTCGACAAAGAGGAACATAAAAACCTACTGCCAGCTAGTGTTTCAGAAGTGTTATTGTTGAGCAACACAAACAGCATGCAAAAGTATTAATTGACGACTATCAGCAAGGCAGGTGCCGTGGGTCTTGCCAATCACTCGATGCAGAAGTATAAATCAGCCTTTATACAGGTGTTCTTTATATATTACAGTATATTACGTCACAAGTAAATATAGAATATAGCATATGCAACAACTTTTTAACAAGATGGAAATTATTCAGCTTTGGAAGAAAAAAAGACCCCTTAGAATGTCTTAGTTTATTAAGTTATTAGGTATGAATTGGAGTAAGATGATAATATTGGTTTTATTATTTGAAGGTCTGATAACATTTCTTATAACAATTTTTCTTGTAACAAAATTATTTTTACTGCCATATGAAGTAGTAGTAGTATTAATAGTAGAAGCTGTTGTTTTGGTGTTATTATTTTTTCAATCAAATAAATTATTATTGTCATCTTAATATAACAAAGTTATTTTTCTTATATCGAAATTATTTTCATAGCCATTTATAGTAGTAGTAGTAGTTGTAGTAGTTGTTATTATATTTTTTGTTATTTTTCCAATAAAATATATTGTTATTGCCCTCTAAATATAACACAATTATTTTTCTTATAACCAAAATTATTTCATTGCAATTTATAATAATAATAATAATAATAATAATAATAATAATAATAATAGTAGTAGTGGTTGTTATTGTTATTATTTTTTTGTTATTTTTCCAATCAAACTAATTCTTATTGTTGTCTAAATTCATTCATTCATTCATTCATTTTCTTTTCGGCATTTTCTTCTCGGCACAGCGGAATGAACCGCCAACTTATCCAGCACGTTTTTACGCAGCGGATGCCCTTCCAACCAAAACCCAACTCTGGGAAACTTCCACAATCACTAATTCACACGCACACACGCACGCACGCACGCACGCAAGCAAAATTTCATTGCCATTTATAAGAAGAAGAATGATAATAATAATAATAATTGTAATAATAATAATAACCATAGTAGTTGTTGTTATTATTATAATTTGTGCTATTTTTCCAATTAAAAATTATTATTGTCATCTAAATATAACACAATTATTTTTCTTATAACAAAATTATTTTTATTGCCATTTATAATAATATTAGTAGTAGTAGTAGAAGTAGTAGTAGTAGTTGCTATACATTTTTTGTATTTTTCCAATCAAATACATTCTTGATGTTGTCTAAATAGAAGTTATTTATCTTAGAATATATTTTCATAACCATTTTTAATAATATTAATAATAATAATAATAATAGTAGTAGTAGTAGTTGTTGTTGTTGTTATATTTTTTGTTATCTTTTCTCAATCAAATAAATTCTTATTGTCACCTTAATTTTATTACAACAAGATTATTTTCATTGCAGTTTACTTTTTTGTCGCTATTTTATTTTTTATTATATATATATATATATATATATATATATATATATATATATATATATATATATATATATATAATTTTGTTAAATATAAATATATTCTGACAACAAAATATTGGGCAAAACATGATGTTACTTACAGATCTATAATAATAGTAATATAATTACATCACATAATTTAGTTATAAATACATATTTCAAAAGACGACGGTTGCATTAGTTCATCATTCATGTCTACAGCAAAAATGGTGAGCAAATAGTCACATGCCATAGTTTAATACTTAGTATGCACAACAGCAAAACCATAAACATCACTAATTATCTCCTTTAATGCTAAATGGCCCAAGTAAATCTACCTCTTAAAATCCGACTGCTTAATTCCCAAACAAAACATGGACATCCCCCAAGTGCTGATGAAGTAAAATATCCTCAGCCAAATGAAACACTGCCAACATGACGACAACAACAACAACAATGTAAATAAGAAATGAAGATTGCTAACTGCAACAATTCAAAACACTTTCCTCCTCCTGGCTAAGAGAAACAACTTGCTGGCCGACAGCCAAAGCTAAAGGACATTGTTTCACAAGTGAAGGCCATAATTCAAAAACCAGCAGCCAATAACAAGAAAAAAACAACAACATCAGGTTAGAAGGCACATCTTTATTTGGAAGGCAGAGTGACATTTGTTAAAAATTAGTCGATAAAGTTTAGCTGAAGACGCCAATGCTGACGCTTGTTTCCTGATGTTGTTGTGACCTCCATAATACACTTTCTAACCCTCCTTTCCTCTCAGAACAGACATGCATTTGCTGGAGATTTGCTGATGAAAGGCTCTGCTCTCCACTGGCCCTGTGTAAATATAAGCTGTTGACCTCAGGCCTCCAGAGTTAAAGCTAAATCATGCGCATCCACTGGATGAAGCGCTCCTGGAGGCTAAAACCACACCTGGCCTGCTTCTGTGATCTCCAGACCTTCAGTTTTAAAGCTCTGTCAGTAGAAGGTGAAGGCCATTTATAAATGAGGCTAATGAGCAGATATGCTCCTCCACAATTTAACCACTTAAAAAATGTACTCTGAATGTCATGTATACGTGCGAAAGGAGGAGCTGTGGGGGGAGGGCTACTTTTTCAGTAATGTTAGTTTGTGTAATACACGCTTACGTAAATCACATTTATGTGGCCCACAAAACCCTGAAAACTTAAATAAGTTTTATTAATAAACTAGATGTAATTTAAGTAAAGTTTTCAGTGTTCTGTGGGATGTTCAGTGTATTCTGATCTACAGTTTTCACTGATTAGCTATTTTAAATTATCTGGGATGCGTTTCCCAAAACCATCGTTAGCCAACTAAGGTCGAAAGATTCGTTGTTACAAACATAGTTCACTGACTTGCCATTTCCCAAATCCGTCGCATTAACAACCATCTGCAAACTGCGTCGCAAACTTGAGCACTCGCAACTACAGCTCTGGAGCTGTAGTTAGAAACATAGTTCCTGGCTGTGTTCTATTCCCACTTATCCCCCCTATGCCCTATTCATTTAGAACATTCAACGTTGGAGTTATTAAAAAAAAAAAAAACATTAAGGTTATCTCTCTTAGGTGTAAAATTGCTTTCAAAGTATTTTTACCGTTCAGTTTTAGAGATCTTCATGTTTACAATTGTGCATCCTTTGCAGTGCACTTTGAAAACATTGATGTCATACCTTTTATCATGTGTAGTCAGATAAGGTGAGGTAAGGTAAAATTAATTGTCCCAGTTATGGAAATTTGTTGAGGGCAAGAATCCAAGACAAATTCCCAAACTGGGACATTAAGGTTTACCTTACCTCACCTAATTACACACAACAAAAGGTATCTTTTCTATGTTAAAGGGAGTTTTTTTTTCTAACCATCTCTGACAGTGATGCGTTTCTATTTCTGCAATGCTGCGGCAGAACTTCATATACTACTATGCCAATTATCACCTCAGGTACAAATTATGTGCTATATTTAGTATTAAATACTACCAATTTCGGCGCCTAGACAGCAGCTCTGCACAAGATATTTAGCCAGATAAGAAATGGTTGTGCCCAACTGAGCTTGGTTTCTCTAAAGGCTTTTTTCCTTTCACTTTCGCCAATTGGTGAAGTTTGTTCCTTGCCACGATCACCACAGGCTTGCTTTGTTTGAGGTTTGTGAAGCAACTTTCAGCAGTAAAAATTAAACCACACTGAACTGAACTAAACTGTAAAACTCTGAAAACTGGACTGACACGGACTTAATTTGAGTTTTTAATTTCAAGCAGCTTTGACACAATCTACACAGTAAAATCGCTCGAGAAATAAAGATAAATTGAAAAAAGATGAGTTTAAATACTCAATACTAAAATAATTACATATTTTATGTGGCATTTATTGTCATATTAATAAATGCAGCAGCAGATATTTCACCTCAGATCTTCAAAAAAAAAAAAAAAAAAAAAACTTGTGGTGTGTGTGGGTCTTAACACCCCAGTATAGTGAAGGGGTGAGTACCACCTTTAGGATGAAATGTTAAACCCCGGTTCTAACTCTCTGTGGTTGTTAAAAATCCCAGGATGTCCTTCGAAAAAGAGTAGGGGATTAACCCAGCATCATGGCCAAATTTGCCCACCTCTGTCCATCATGGCCTCCTAATATCATAGGCCATCCCCATATCATTGATTGGCTCTTCACTCTGTCTCCTCTCCACCA